GGGATCTCAGGTCCACTTTTTTTCGCTGCGGGAACCTCGGGTACATTAGTGATCAGAAGTGGACCTGAGGTCCCGCAACGGAAATGCTTCGCGCTGTGAAACGCGAAAAGTCCGATTTCTGTCTAGTGAACCACACCCAGTGGGGATGGGATAGGACGTAAAGAGCACACATCAGGTAGGCGGAGCCACGCTCACAGATGAAGGGCATGTTCCGAAATGGGCGGTGCCGACAGCAAAAACTACCATTTTGCTTCCAAAAGAGCCCATAGGCTGGAAGAAATTGCGTAAATGTGCATTGGGCTGTTAGGTAGGAGGAGATCAACCTGCGCTAGGCAGGGCAGGGCGTCCTCTGATTATGCCATGCATCATGAAAGAGTAGATATCGATAAGATAAAGTCCGCTCTGCAAAGCAGAGAATTGTTGGTGTAAAAGGGCAACGCTTAAAGGCACAACCCAGGCACGAGTCGTGTGAACGGTTCCCTTCGGTTTACGAAAGGACAGACCCCTTGATAGCAATCACACATATGGCACTCCCTTGGACGGAAATTACTCGGCAGGAGCGCTAGAGCCCTGCAAAGTAAGCTGCTGAAGCTACAGATTTTTTTTTTATCAGACTGTTGTCTGATGCTTTTTCTATGTTGCGCTCTCTCGCTCCATACTCTCCTCTCCACGCTTGGCCTCTCATTGCCTTAGCACAGCTGATTAGAAGGGTGAGGTGCTCTTAAACCGAACGTTTAGGAGGGATTTTTTTCTTTTTTCTTTGCTCCGACCCATTTCGCACCAACGCACAGGTATTCTTGTGCAAGAGCCACACCTATGTGGTCCTGGGGCATGGCTCAAATTTCTGTTGAGCTGCCTTTTCATCGTAAACCCCGTCTCGTACCTTGGGCCCAAGGACTAGCCTACATAAATAGGCCTAAGACAGACAAATTGCACTGTAATAGCTAATTTGGCTACCAGCATTTCAAAACGTATTATTGTTTCCTTATGATTATTGGGGGGTCATCCCATTATTGAAAATTCGTGACGTTTTTTCGTTATAGTAAAATCTCTCGACAAGTGATGTGTAGTCATATTTGCGAAACGGTGAAAATACGTTCTAAGGAAGATATTTTAATAATTCTGAATCGAGATTTCTCCAGAAATCAAGTATCAAGGTTTTTCGTTATGGGGAAACTATTGGTAATAGCGGCATTTTCCAAAAATGCACAGCAACTTTGGAATAGCAAAAAATTAGGGTGGACCTATATTTATGAAACGCAGTGTATTGTGGATTTATGCGAACTGGACTGAGCAAATACGTATGAGTAGGCACGTAGAAAGAAGAGGGAGAAATCCGAATTAATAACGAAATCAGATTCATTCCTACCAAATTAAAGAAAATTCGATGGTTCAAGACTAGTTCAAAAAAATAATTTCTTGACTCATATTATTCACATCACGGGATTATGCTAAGCGATGAGATGAAGAAAAATGAGAATTACTTCTTGTTATTACGATCCCAGCCACATTATAAAGATCAATGTTACGGAAGTGAAAAGTTGAATGATTATCTTGGTATTAGTATTAATATGCAAACTGAAGTGATTTCCTATCATTTGATGAGCTAGAAGCTACTATCGGCTGAAGAGAACATACAATGACAATCAAAAGCTACAAAAATGATAAAGACGAAGTTTATCTGGCTCGCCATTTGTGCTCTTCCATTTCCTCTGCGATGAATTCCAATACAGACTTCACGACGTCACTTGTCTTGAAATAAAAGTTGGGATGGACACAATAAATTAAATTATTTTCCGTATTTATACCTTAGCCGTTCCACCAATATCAGGGGTGTGAAGCCGTTTCTCCACCAAGGTGCGGTACAACGACAGAAATGTGGCATGGTGGTTCAGTTCCACGATTTGGGAAAACGTTTCATTTGTGAGAGGATGCCTTGGAAGGAGGTGAATAGGAAAAACATTAATTTTCTGCTTTAATCATAGACAGCATGCGCATTAAAGCAGCTACTTTTACATTTGATCTACGGATGACAAAAACGAAACAGAAAGTCACTGTTGGTTATTCGAGAAGTTTTGCATATAATCTATTGAAACCATGTCGCCACTTTGTTCGTAATATAGGAGCTCACAAATCAACGAAAGCATGTAGCAGACGCTCTAATAAAAGCAGTTGGATTAGCAGCGTCTTTTCCAGCTAAAGAAGTACCAGTATTTCGAGTTCCCTGTAATACTTGGATATGAAAATGAATAGTGTTGCGCAGTGGATGAAGCCATATATATCAGAGTTCAATCTCGATTAATTAACACGTTCTGAACATCACGCGTTTTGGGTTTTTGCACCGCGTGGGACCAGAGCGGTTTGCGAGCGCTGCCGCCGCACACCAAATCCATGGATTTTGAGCTGTAAATACGCAATACTTGGATGCGACATGAATTGTTTTCACTGCGTT